TTGTAGTTCATTCCAGATATAGTCAAGTTGACAACCATCTTACATACTTCATCTGATCATCTCAGTGTTAGGTTCACACTGCTGCCCACCTTAGTGAAGTTCATTTCAAATCCACCCAGCCTGAAACTGCAGCTTGTAAGTGCTGTGGGACATTTTAGTCCAGCTTGACACTCCACCATGTGTGGGCAGAGAATGCTGGAGACCAGGGCTGGCCCAGGAACATGCCAATGGACATGGAGGGAAGTAGATGGCCTGAGCAGCAGGTACAGCACACCTTCTTCAATTACGTTTGACTAATTGATAGGAAAAGCTCAAGTCATACCAGCTACGGGTGGGCCTGGGGTGGGGTCACTCACTGTTCGTTTTTACAATATTCATTTGGCCCAGCCACTCAACTGGAAAAAAATCACCCTCAGGACATAATCAAGTATTATTCAAAACAGTGGTAGGATTGTAGAAGTTAAGGCTTCTGGATAAATACGAATTCGTTTTAATAACTTTTCTGTAAGAGGCTGGCTATGAAAAGAAAGCACACTCCACCTTGTGTCCTACATATTCCGACTTTGTTTTGCAAATGTTTCCTGGTTTCCATGGCAATCCCTAGAGATGTCTGTGTAAAAGGAAACTGGGAACTTTTTTTTTTTTTTAAAGAAAAGATTAGTGTGTTCTTTTTATCATGGGAAGCTCATTCTGTGCTGACAAATTACATTCTGACAGCTAGCCTGTGATCCAAGACAGGCTTGCCAGAGACCGAATAACACGGAATTTCTAGGAGCCGGCAGTCTACATTTATAGTTTCATGTGTAAGTGGTCGCTTTCATTGAATTCGAGAGATAAACAGAAGTGCTAAATACTTGGAATACTTTTCCGATAATTCAGAAGTACATTCATACTTGGAATAGCTGACAGATGTTGGTGTGGTGGTCGTGGCATGGACATGACTTCAGAGCCACTCACTAAGCTGTGCGAGCTTTGGCAAGACACAAAGCTCCTTCAGCCTCAGTTTCCCCAATAAATTAAGAACTGGAAACGGTGCATGGAGGGCCAGGGAGACAGCTAAGTGGGGAAGGGAGCTGCTGCCAACACTGGGGACCCGAGGTTGATCCCCAGGACCCACATGGTGTGCTTCGGCACATATGTGTGTTTTGGTATGTGCATGCACATGTACAAATACACACACATAAATGAATAAGGGAATAAATGATGTAATTTTTTTAAATGTCTACTAGATGGTGTGACTACGATCACTGATTTATCAAAGAAAAAATACAGGCAAACAGAAAAGATGAGCTCATTAAACAGATATTAATGGATTAACACTAGAACTGGACTGTGTGGGGCTTCAGGCCTTCATGAGATTATTAGTCAATAAATGCCCCAGCAAGCAATAGGAAAGACTGGTGAGCCTGTGGGTGGGAACCTGGCAGGTACATTTCACAAAGGACATTCCTTAAATCTTTTTAAAATGGTCAGAAATTCTGTATAGAGTCAACTAAAATAAGTGTGTGTGTGTGTGTGTGTGTATGTATGTATGTATAGTGTGTGTAGTGTATGTGTGTGTATGTAAGATATGTGTGTATGGTATGTATGTATCTATAGTGTGTGTATGTATGTATATATGGTGTGTATATGTGGTATATGTGTATAGTGTGTGTGTATGGTGTGTATATATGGTATGTATTGTGTGTGTGTGCATGTAGGGTGTGTGTGTGTACAGTGTGTGTATGCACAGTGTGTGTGTATAGTGTGTGTGTGTGTGATATATGTGTGTGTGTGTGATGTGTGTGTGTGTGTGTGTGTGTATTGAGGCCCAAAGCTGATGCCGAATGCAATCCCCAGTCACTCTTCATTTCCTGCAGTTAGTATTTCTTGCTAAACCCTGCTCATCAGTTCCCCCAATTCCAGCTACTGAAGCTAGACAGCTCACTCTGGAGGTCCTGCCTCCACCTCCCGAGTGCTGGGCTACAGGCGGCCTTCATAGCTGTCCAGCCTTTCCACAGGTTCTCGGGACCTGAACTCCCTTCTCACACTTGCACGGCAGGTGCTTCGCCTCCTGAGCTGCCTCCCCAGCCCCACAGGGAGCTAAATTTAATGCATAACTCGGAAGTAACAAATGGTCAAGCTTTCCAACTCTGAGAGGCTGCGGTGAAGAGGGTCAGAGCTTTTCCAGAACTCACTGAAGACAGAGCAACACCGCCACAAGCAGAGTCCCCCTCGAGGGAGGCCAGACTGAGGCTGGGCCAGCTTGTCTCTCCGCGGCGTTCTGCACTCTGCATCCCCCGGCTCGCTGTCATTAAACCTGCGTACAGACCTCAGATTCCTCACGTCTTTCCTCATCCAGATGCACTGTTTGTAATCTGCCTTTAGTCTATCAGCTTCAGTTATTGGAAACAGTAAGAGTGACCCAGATGACCTCATGGCGAAAACACTGAAGCATTGAACACAAACCGGAACAGGAAACAGAGTGAGATACTCAGAGATGAAAACCTAGGTGAACTTTCTTCCAGTGAAAGAATCAATTCAGAAGTCCTTAAATGCGTATGTCACTTAAACTCAGCCTACATAAGGTGACGAGTGTATTTAAAACAATCCCGTCAGTGAATAACTGGCTGGGAGATGGCTCCGTGTGTGGTGGTTTGGATGAAAATGGCTCGTATATTGGAATGCTTAGTCACCAGTTGGTAGAACTGTTTGGGGAGGATTTGGCCTGCCTCATGATTGTTGTTTCAGATGTGAGCTCTCAGCTAACTGCTCCAGCGCCATGCCTAACTGCCTGCTCCCATGCTCCCCACCATGATAGTCACGGACTCCAGCCCTCTGAAACCATGAGCCCCAAATGAAATGCTTTCTTTCCTAAGTTGCCTTGATGCTTTGGCATTGAAATAGAAAAGGAACTAAGACAACAGGTAAAGCGCTTGTCTCACAAGTGTGAGGGGCAGAGTTCAGTCCCCCAATACCCACAAAAAGGTTGGGCAGGTAGGGGCAGCTTGCCTATACTCTGAGCAATCAGAAGGTGGAGACAGGGACCTCTGAACCAAGCTAGTTATTCAAACTGGCCAAATGGTGAGCTCTGGCTTCAGGTGAGAGCTCCTGCCTCAGTACACAACTATATATAGTTAGGTAGAGACCTAATATCAACCTCTGGCCTCCATCTGTGTGTGTGAGCACATACACACACACCACACACACACACACACACACATATACACACACACACACACGCACACACGCACACACGCATACGCACAACACACACACACACACACACACACACACACACACATACACACACCAAAATTAGTAGAAAAATGTCAAAAATACTAAGGGCCCCATTCCTAAGGGTAATAAGATGTCAACAGCATGCTTCCAGGGTCTGAGTCTGGGTCTATCACTTCCATGTCTCAGAAGAGTGCATTCCAGAGGTGGGCACCCAGCAGAAAACACATCATTTAATGGAGACTTTCTCTGACTAGCTAGATTCCCACCTTCCACTCGCCATCAGCAACACTATTAAATATGATGTCTGAAAGGATAATTTACAAGAAAGTCCCAGGGCTGGAGAGATGGCTCAGTGGTTAAGAGCACTGGCTGTTCCTTCAGAGGACCCGGGTTTGATTCCCAGCACCCACAGGGCAGCTCATAACCATCTGTAACTCCAGCTCCAGGGGATTTGGCTTCCCTGGGCACCAGGTGTGTACAAGGTGCAGAGACACACAGCAGGAAAAAGAGTCATACACATAGAATAGTTTTCATAAAAATGAAAAAGAAAGTCACTATGATAGCTGTAAGTGCCCAGAAGAGACTTGTTTCCACACCACCACCACCAACTGCACCACCACCACCACCATCAGCACCACCACCATCACCACCTTTTACACTATATCCACTCCTTTCAGTTAGGTGTGACTGGATGGCGCCTCATAACCCTCCAACCCTCACCAGTAACTGGTCAAAGTTTGGGTTAATCCTGGCTGCTGCCTGGGGTCTCAGACAAAACAAAGAAACCCAGTTGAATCTGAACATCAGATAAGCAAAGGATGCTTTTTAGTATAAGTGTGTCCAAATACGCCCTGGAACATATGACACCCAACTTCCTGTGTTTCGTGGGATTTTCTGAGTGTTTTACAAATACATGGGGACGTAAACACATGCCACTAGACTGACAATCTGAGTAGGAAGAATGAACTGTGCCTTATGATTTTTAATTTCAAAATTATGCATCTTAATTAAGATGTTTTATGGGTTGTCATTGATTAGATACAAAACAATCTGTATTAAATTGAAAAACAGAAAGGTAAAAAGACAGACAATGTGGCAAAGTAGAAAGCAGAGGGCTGGGAACAAGGAGGTCCAGGTGTCTGACCCTGCTCACTGAACCTGACCTTCAACAGACGGCTGTGGAGGAGGGGATTCCCACAATGTGAAGGGAAACTAGAGACCTTTAAATGTAGTGTATTTTCCAGCTTCCTATCTTACACCAAAATAAAGAACGGACACTTCAAGAGTGGCAGTGGGGTGCAGTAGATCCCAACAAAAAGGAACTAGGCAGGAAGGATTTGTTTTAGCTCACAATCACAGGTCACATCCATCACCATGGGGAAGTCATGGTGGCAGGATGAGCTTGAGATGGCTGGTCACATCACACTCAGTCAAGAACAAGGAGAAACAACTGCTCATATGCTCCTGTTTGCTTGTGCTCAGCCTAGGGAATGGTGCCCCCCACAGGGGGCTGGGTCTTCCCCTACTGGGGCCACAGGCAAACCCAATGCAGACAACCCCTCACTGGGACTCTCTTTCGAAGTGATTCTACGCTGTTTCAAATTGACAATTAAAACTAACCACCACACTAGGTGACCCAGGGAAGATCTCATTTCTACGGGTCCAGGTTTCTTAGTTTGCACATGAGATTTGGACAATATCATTCTGAAGGTCTTTGCAGCCTCCAGATTCTATTGTGTCTGACAATTTTGGGAAGTCACTGGAGGAGTGATGCCTGTTACCTCTGCAATCATCCTGTTGGTGTCCCCCAAGAAGAGCAAGTTCAAAGCTTCCTCCTCGGTTGTCGCCTGATGAAGAGACAGGTTTTTCAGGTGAATGTTCTGATCAGGATCCTCCAATGTTGTCACTTTCCTGGGGGGAAAAGAAAGTGAGAGAACAAGGTGCTGCAGAGAAGAATTGGAAATGTTGCAGCAATCACATTTTTCACAACCATCTAGTATGAACAAAACACAGGCGACACCAGACACCTCTGAATTAGCATTCAAAACTGACCCCCCCAAACTGTGCTTTCAAATAGCCCTGCGCTGGAAAAAATATATCAACCACCCAATTGAGAGCTGCCCATCACTACAGTCTCCAGGTCACTAAATTACCTTAAAACACATGTTTTATTAAGTCAAATAGAAAGCTGTTAACTTTCTACCTCAGTATCAAGAAATGAAATGATACCATTTCTGGGGGGGGGTCATAATCCAGATCTTCTCATTTGGTCTTATCATGCCCGATGTACCTGACATCCTAGAGCACAGTCCGCTTGCACAGGGTGATAACCGGGGTGGCTGTCATCCCTCTTGGAGGGATTCTCTTGGATTTTTCTCATCAAGACATGAAAACCATTGTCAAAAAGTTTATAATAAAAATGAGCTTGTCCACCAAATCCATTTCTAGGTCCTAGTCTCTTTCCTTCTATGACATCTTCCACCAGAGGTTTAGCTGTGGAATCTTATCTCCTACTACAGCTACCTTAGCGTGTCCCAGAGTCAGCCTGTTCCCTTCCTGCCCTGCTCCCAGAGAGAGCCGTTAACATTCTCTCCGGGGCCTTTCCGGGCTTCTTGCAGCAAACACGGTTTAGAAAACTTCCAATTCTGCTCCAAAGGCCTGCAGATTGGATTCTTTTGAGTGGCTAGGAGTTCTCTTCCAAGAGAATGCATCATTCACAGGGTCTGCCAAAGGCCATCTCTGTGTGAGTTTCACTTGCTCCAAACTTTATAATTCGTGGTATTGAGGAAAGGCTGGTACCATCTGGGATACTTCCTCTTTAAAGGAAAAGCAAGTGGACATGCCATTTCCTCACCATAAAACCGTACTTACTGGGGACAAGGTTGAGAAACATACCGCACATAGGGCTGAGCAGTAAAAGTTTTTGTTCTTGGCACTTTGGCCAGTTATACATCTATGCACCAACTGCTAGCCACTGCAAAAAGATGGGTACCCATAGACCCGAGAGAACGCCCACATTTATGGGTATCAACATGAATGTTCAAAAGTCAATTTCACAGCATGGCCATTTAGCAAATTAACAACATAGTACCAGGCAGGAATTTCCCTCCTGAGGAACAGGCCTCAAGTCCAATCAGAAAGTGTTTAGATAGCCATAACTGTCATGCCACTATTGCATCAGTGGGCACATCTTGTCTAGCAGGTTGGCATTGTGTCATGGGGGGTCCAGCCCTGAGTAAGGTCACTGAAGACTTATACCCCAAGAGCTTACAGAGCACCTTTAGACATTATGGAAACTAGTGAGCAGGGAGGAAGTTTCCTAGTCAGTTGGAGGATGGTTTCTCTACGTCCTGCAGGCAAAGTGTGTGATGTCATCAGCAACAGGGTCTTCACATCCAAGAGGGCACACACAGCACTAATGAGACTTAGTGGGTTATAAAAATAAAGAAGACATGAAGTTTGGAGGGTGACACACTGAGGAAAAAATGGAGGAGGTGGAGGAAGGAAATCCAGGATGTAGTTTACATTCTACAGATGTATGAAATTCTCAAGAATAAAGAAAAGTTATTTTTTAAATAAAATATATGAATGAGGAAAAAACTTGTTTAGGATAAGGTTACCTTTTAAATGAAGATTTTTAAATACTATAATTAAATTTTTTCTATTTTGCAAGGAAATTTCTGGCCTTTTTGTATGTAATTTGTGGGCACTTAAAATACGAGCAGTGAGAAACTGTAACTTGCCCAGCAGTGTGTCCCTGGAGGTGGACTCCAGTCCTGCAGACGATTCGACTCCCTTCCATTCCCTCACAACACCCACAAGATGGAAAAATTCCCTTCCTTTAGAGAAAACAAATGCAATTTGTTTACTTTTTAAATATGACTTACAAGTGAGCTTATTAAAAATGCTTGGAAGGTCTGAAGGCTCTTATAATTGACATAGATGAGCGGTGTTATAATTGACATAGATGAGGGGTGTTATAATTGACATAGATGAGGGGTGTTATAATTGACATAGATGAGCTGTGTTATGATTGACATAGATGAGCGGTGTTATAATTGACATAGATGAGCGGAGTTATAATTGACATAGATGAGGGGTGTTATAATTGACATAGCTGAGCTGTGTTATGATTGACATAGATGAGCGGTGTTATAATTGACATAGATGAGCGGTGTTATAATTGACATAGATGAGCGGTGTTATGATTGACATAGATGAGTTATGTTCTATTTTGAGCAGACTCCTTTATGCCTTAGATTTCGCCTCTGACCAGCTCAATATACTTTGGCTAAGTTTAATCTCTAGGGACACAGAATACAAGATTCTCTCTAAATTCCAGATTTCACCAGGAAGGTGAGAGACATTAAGTAATATTTGAAGATGAAGTCAGAAAATAAGTGATGAGATGGTATACTCTTTAAAGTGAGAAGTGAGAGAATCAAGCAGTTAGCATGAGTAAAGCAAGTCTCCATCTCTAAGGTGCTTGCCTATAATGACAAAAGGATGAATGTGGAGATCGGAAACACTCCTTCCCTGCAAGAACCGAGAAGGGGGTGTCAGAGAAAGGGAGGCAATACAAACTCACCTTGACTCTCGCCATAACCAGATCCTAGCCTTTGCTCTTACCACAGCCCTAACAACAGCCCTGAATACCCACAGCATTAACCCTAATCCTAGCCCTAACTCTAGCACTACTGCAGCCCTGACGGGAATCCTAACTCTAGCCCTAAACCTCCTGTCCATAGCCACGAGGAGCAGGGGCCACACCCATTGAACATCGCCTTCTCCCCAGGGCATCTGCACTGTCTCATTTAACCCAGCAGTTCTCACAGGGGTTTCTGATTTGAATAGTCCTGGTGCTATGTGCATACCAGATTTCGCAAAGCTCTAGGTAACTGGTGTATGGACCAGTGTTGAACACTTTGGACCCCGGTCCCTTAAAGGTGGGCACAGACTGAGGCTGATTGGGGTCCCTGGTCTTTACTTCCCAGCCAGTTCCATCTCAGCTCCAAGGGGAAAGTTACTGATCTCTGACTGTGGCTGGGCACGGGGACAAGCCACACCCATGCAGGGGCAAAGCAACTGAACTGCTGAAGAGCCCAACCACCCGAGGCAGGCAAGCATGGGGCAATCTGCCTGGGACCCCCGTTTATTTTTAGGCTATGCACACCCCCTTTTTGTAATAATGCACTTGGAGCCTAGTTCCTTCACCTGCACACACACCTCTGTGCACACACACCTCTGTGCACACACACCTCTCCGCAGACAATACACCTAGCAACCTCGGAATCCCGACAGCTCACCTGGAATCCAGCTACATGTCCTCCCATCTGAACAGCAGCATAAGCTTCCCCACCCCTGGATATTAACAGAGTTAGAGAGTGTACCCAAGTGTATCTGGGTATGAAGGACAAAAGGGCTGATCTTGCCTGACTGATTTGGGGTGTGGGTAAAACAAAAGGCAAAACTGCTTCTTCTAGTCACCTTTTAGGGAGAATCCTCACTTTACCATCTTATTCCTATACACAATACAGCGCGTATATGATTAAAAACCTGGTGGTGGTGGTGCACACCTTTAATCGAGAGGCACAGGCAGGCGGATATCTGTGAGTTCGAGGCCAGCCTGGTCTATAGAGCAAGATCCATGACAGGCACCAAAAACTACACAGAGAAACCCTGTCTTGAAAAACCCAAACAAACAAACAAACAAAAAACTGGATGCATTCTAGAAAAGTATTGCACAATAAGGAAAATGATTATATAACCTAATCTGTCAATCAAAATAGAGACCCACCTTCATTATACTCCTATATATCCTTTCTTCTCTTGAACCTCAGAAAGGGAAGCCCCAAACAGGAATGTGGTCCACTATATGTCTTGACAGTGGCCCTCTACAACCTGCCTTCCTGCTTTGCTAAGAACAAAGTCCCCTTGCTTCTAAAGCAAACCCGAGTGAGCCCTAATTTTCAATTCTTTGGATAAAAG